CGCGTTTTTTTTTAATGCTTTTCCTGTTTGGGGGGGCGGATCTTTGTTTTCTATGATTGCCCCCTTTTTTTGTCTATTCCAGGTTGGTTTTAGGAGGCTTGATGTGCCTGCTGGGTGATCGCCGGCTTTTTTATTGGTGATTGCGTATTTTTGGCTTACCGGTGTGCCGCTCAGCGCCATTTTGTTTTACTTCTTTTCTGCTTATTGGGGCGTGTTCTTATTCGTCACGCGTCAGCACACACCGAGCAACATGTCAAAAAAACAAAACGCAGGCTTCTTCGCCCCTCGCGAGGGCCTCCGCAGCCACAATCCTGTGCGTGCGTGCATTCTCAGCGTTTTAAGCACGGCATGTGTGTGCATGTGCTTGTGTGTTTGGCAGCGCCTATAATTGCAGAGCAACTGTGCGCCAAAAGAGAGTCAGAAGAAAGCAACGGCAGAGAGAGGCAGATAGCACGCACGGACAAATTACTCATATCATCACACATGCACGCAGCCCGCGGAATGGGTGCTCTCAACCACAAAACAATGAAAAACAAAACAAAAAGCCGAAGCGTGGGACGACCAGCGCACACACTCTCATTGCTCCCGTAAAGCAAAACACACACACACAGGGAGAGGGAGAGAGAGGTCGCCCACTCAATGCAACGGAAGCAAAAAACAGAAACAGTTACGGTGCTCCGCCCATGCAGCCAGGCAGGACGGCAGCGGTGCGTGTCGTGCAAAAGAGAGCACCAACGGGCCTGCATGGGTGTGCATGCAATATATACAATGGGCACATTATGTGTGTGCTTCGTGGGATGAGGTGAGGGCGAGAGTCCATGCAAGGGGACACACACAGAGAGTGGGTGAAAGACGAGTGTGTGTGCGGGCGGTGCATGGCTCTCTCTCCCTCACTCTCACGCGGCCACCACCGCAGCAGCAGCCGCACACACAACAAGAAGAAGAAGCAAAAGAGGGGAGGTGGTGTGGGAGACCGCGGTGCTGCCGTCACTGTTGCCTTTTGTTGCAGTATCATTTGTTTGATAGTTGTTGACTGTTTCTGCTTTTTGTGCTGCTGTCTCAGTGGATGTGGGAGTGTTGTTGGTATTACCACCTTCGATTCCGTCTTGTGGTTCTCTGGTGTTAGGCCGTTGAGCGCCGTTATCAACTTTGTCCTCCTTGTTCTGGGTTCCACCACTGCCACTTTTAGATACAGATGACGCTGGTGTTTCCGCTGGACGACTTGTATTTGCATCATTCATCGAATCTGGTGTGTCCGTGTCTTGTCTGTTTTGGCTTGGCTCACCATTTCCTAAAGGTTTTTCCTGTGCTTCAGGCGCCGTTTTAGCGTTTGGCAGTGACGTCGTGCTTGTTGTTTCTGTTGCCTTCTGTGAGCCTGTTGATGCTGTTGGGTTTGTTTCTCCTTCTGAAACGCTTCTTGCTGGTGATAGCCCTACTGGCGGTGGTGGTGGTTGTGGCTTCGTCGTAGTAGTGTAACTCGTATTTGGCGTTTTGAATGTCTGACTTGATGTCTGTGCCTTATTTTCCTCAACACCTTGTGTATTTTCCTGTACCTTTTTGCTTTCTGTACCTAAATAACCAATCGCAACTTGTGTCTGTGCGGAATCAGTTGCCAAAACTGGTGACTCTCGATTATCCTTCGTCGGACTTGGTGTCCCTGGCGGAATTGGCGTACCTGATGACGTAACTGCTGTCCTATCTGTTGAAATAGGCAGATTGTCCTTTGGATTTGTTCCCGCTTGCAAACCAGACAAACCTTCAGACTGATGTGCATGATTTCCCGAGGGTATTGGCCTTGACGTATTGGCTGAAATTCCTGTGTGCGGCTCAGGAATCTCTAACGCAAGGTCCATATCACCGTCTCGTTCCACTTCCGGTTCGGGTGGAACATCTGATGTCTTTGGCGCAGGGGAGTCTGAACTTTTAACATCTTTCTCTCCGCCAGTCGCTCTCACGCACACGGACGGGCAGCAGCACAGGGCGAGCACCAACAGGGCGCACAGCAGACGGCACATCGTCATCATCGTGAGTGTGGTCGTTCAGTGGTGTGGAGCTGACCTGCACAGTGAGGGACATGGAGAGCAACAGGGGAGACGAGAGGTGCGGCAGACACACACAGGGGGCACACCACATGAGGAGAGGGCAGCAGCCAGGCATGCACCGTACGCCGCACACCACGCACGACACACACTCCAATCCACGGCAGCAGGCACACACACACACAGCCCTGCCGCAACACCAACACACAGATGGAACAGGGAGAAGCAAACAGGAGCGGCACACAAGGCTCCACCGCATGTACATACGGCGAGAGCGGTCCGTCGTGTCGGCACCCCTCAGAGAGGGTACACACACACACATGAGGAGGTGCAGCGCACACAGCAACACAAAAGCAAAGTAACAATAAAAAAGAGGGAGATCCCCACACACCACGTGGATTGTTGGTCCACGGGAAATGCAGCCAATATTTATCACAAAGCAAAATGTCATTTTGCTGTTGTTGGATACTGTTACAATGAAAGGTGAATAACGCAAGAGCCGCCCGTACAAAAGTGGCAAGTATTCCTTCGCAAACGAGCCGTCGTGCAGTCTAGGGTTGTTCCAAACAGTCGCGGTCCCAGTTCCCAACGACAGGGCATTCCCGCAGTGGGTGAAGCGGAGTCTCCTGTGGTCCGTCGGGGATCAGCAGCCCGTGGCGTCTGATGAGGCGGTGGCGGAAGCCCCTGGTCCATCTCGAGTGCACGCGTTAGTGCTTCCTGCGTGTGTTGCCTGCTGGCATCATTGGCAACTTCGGTGGCGACCTGCGCGCGAGGCGCCTGTTAGGAAGACGGTGGCGCCATTTTGGCATCCGCATGTGAGGCCCTTTCAAACTATCGGAACGCCAGGCCGAGCACGTCGAGCATGTGCCCTCATATTGTGGACGGAAGAGCGCACTCTGACAAAGATTCGGCGGGAGGACGTCAATCCGCCGCTCGCTGGTCAGCAAGGAGTTGCGGTGCTCACGTAGGGAAGAGGCTCCGGGAGAGGCGAGACAAGCCATTCTCCTTAGTGAAGGAGGGACGGCACCACCGGCACAGAGGGTTACTTGTGATCTGCATGGCGTGCGCAGGCCTGACGAAGAGAGGGCAGGAGTCGCACCGCGCCTGTGCGCCGTGCCGCCACTCGGGGAACGATGTCCGGGTCAACACCAGGAATAGAGTCCTGGCCACACCGACAGGCGCCTGTAATGCGGTGTGCGCGCCTTACTTTTCCTCCTGGACACCCTTCCAGTTCCGTCGCTTCACTGCAGTGAGGGAATCCACGTGCCAGGCATTGACGCAGTCCTGCGGGAGAGATCGTGCCATGACGGCATCGGCGTCCGCTGTCACTCTGCGTGGAATACCGCAGTGTCATGGAAGATGTGGAGCCAACTGTGTGACCTCAATCCACCAGTGAAAGCGGCACGGCACGAATCTCCTCGCTGACGTCGTCGTGCACCGCCAGCGCGTCAAGGCATAGTGCCTCCATCACCGACAGGGCATCTGTGGCGAAAGGAACTCGTGTGGGCGATTGGGACGCTGCTACCAGGCGGGGAACTGGGAACTGTCTGTGGCCATGCTCGGTGGCAGGACACTCCGCTCGGCAGGATCATGCAAGGCTGCCAGCAGCTGTGCGGTGAGGCCCCACAGGGAGCTCCGCTGTCCGGGGAGTCGAGTGGCAGCGCGGCGGATCCACATACATGGCCCCAGAGAGGCGCAGGCCGCTTCAACGGCCGATCGTCTGACACCGTCCAGGGCGTCCCTGGCGTGCCGTGGCTGGAATACGCCCACCTCGTTGCGGCTCACAGTGCCCCAGACAACAATGCGGTGCTCAGCATGAGGGGCGCGGATGTGGTGCGGGGAGATCCCCATGTGGCGACAGACGCGTCGCAGTCCGTTGAGGACGGCATCTCCCGGCAGAGAAATGGTCGTCGCTGCCTTCCCAAGTATTGACGAAGGTGCCATGGTTTCCGAGCAGATTGCGCCACGCACGTCCTCAATATACCGGAGACGCGTGAGGCGTTCGTGCTGTGTGGGTGCGCGGAACCCAATGATCCTCCGCAGCGGTGCTGAACTGGCGGCCGTGTGGACAGAAGTATCCTTCGTTGATGCGCGTGGGCCGAGCGATGCTGTGCAGCTGTCGCCGTGCCGCACTTCCAGGCTGTGGAGGTGAGTGGGAGCTGGACACGGTGCGATTGCCTCGCCGCCGTGGTGCAAAACAGTGTGGACGCATCCAGCCAGACAGGATCGCATGGTGTGCTGGAACGCACCAGCTCCTGCGCCCAGCCGCAGCTGACGGCGGCGTGGCACGGTCTGCCCTGCAGCGGCGGTAAAGTGCAAAACGAAATTGAGGTGTCGATCAATCGCATTGCCGAGCAGAACCACCAGGTGCGAATTGACGCGTGGGTTCCCACCGCCCAGACGATGGTCGGCAGCGTCCTCGTCAGAATTTCTGTTTGAAGCGATGCGGAACAGAGCGGCCCCGTTCCCGTCCGCTTCAATCTTCAGGCTGTGCTCCGCAGCCCATGTGGTCACAACGGACAAGGCAGTCGACATTGCCGCAGCACATTCACGGCCGTCCGCACCCAACGCAACAAGCGTGCGGTCGTCAGCGTGCACGAACGCCAACGCCAAGTAAATGCTGTCCAGGCGGCGCGGCAGACCATCCACGTGGCGGTGGAAAAGCTGCGGCCCCACGACGCTGCATTGAGCTGCCCAGGCTGAGGCGAGCTGCTGTCGGGAATATTGCTCGCGAGTACTCATCCCAACGCGGCAGCCTCGCAGGTGATTGCGCTACCAGCGTTGGGTGCGACGGCACAGACGCGGAAGCCCGCCGAGCACGGCCAGCACTCGCCCATCGTCAACGGTGTCGAACGCAGTCGAGAGACCGATCGGGACTGCGAGAGAGCGGCGACGGCAACTGTGCAGCGCGGGATGCCATCACTGCGACGCTCACACTCCACGGCAATGCGCTCGCTCAGCTCTCGTGCCGTTTTGTCACTCACAGGCGTCACCACGTCCGAGGCCGTGCGTCGTGGCGTGGATCCAGGCTGTCGTCGGTGGTGTGCCAGCAGTGCTGACAGGCGGCGGTGGAACAGTCATTCGCTCACCCCTAGCAGGACAGAAAGCAACGGAGGGACCGACAACTCTCTCTGTGCGGCATGTGTCCTTCCCGTGGTTGCGGATAGGAGTGGTGTCTTCCATTTCCCAGGAGCCTCGCAGGCTGCCGTCGGCGAGGGAGGTGTTGGTCATCGTTCTGTGTGAGCAGCGGGCAGCGGGTGCAAGATGGCGCAGAAATGCATGCAACACACGCCGGGGACAGGGCCATGCCAGGCAAACAATCGCGGATGGCCGAGTCAGGCGCACACGGCGTGAAGGGCCAATCCATATCCCAGTCACCAGGGAGCACGCGAGCACAAAGTGTGGAGAAAACAGTGGGGATCGCAGCACGTGCGACTCAGACAGTGTGACGGAGGAGCGGGTTTGCCTGCTGCCACGGCAGAGCACAGTCGCAGTCCCAAGAGCACCACAGCACAGCCGATCCCAGAAGGCAGGGACGTGGTGCCGCCACGACTCAAGGTATCACCGGCCTGGGCTCGAGAGGGCACCAAGCCGTTTCGCAAAGACCACTAGCAGCATGGAGAAGCCACGGCGAAGGACATGATTGCGGTCCTCCCGTTTGTGGGGAAATTCAGCTCGGGGTGGACTGCCTCCTGCTGAGGTTGTGTGCGCGTTGCATGCCGGCTCCAAAACACACTCGGCATGCTCCATTCCGTCAGTCCAGATTACTGTGCTGCTGTCACGGCTGCCGCTCACACGGTGCCTCGGTGCATCTCCAACCATGTGATTACGGTGGACAGGGGCGTTGCACACGCCGAGGTGGAAGCATCGCAGTCAGCTTCGCGCAGGACAACGGCATGTTTCCGTCGTGGCAGCATGCCTGTCTGTCGCGGAAGGCCGTCCTCCGTCTCTGCAGTGTGGAATGGCGGATGGTGGTCCGACTCCATGCAGCGGCTGGACGTCAAGTGGGAGACACGCAATACGCGTTGCGCAGTCACGTTGGGAAAAGAGACGCTGCGGCCGCTGATCCGCGTTGCCTGTGCCGGGTCGTCAGACAGCTCACACTCCATGCCGGTTGGGGTGGCGGCGAGATCCTCTCCTGCCGTCGTGGATGGTGAGCGACCTTCCCGCAGCTCATGGTGTGAATTCGGGTCGCCCGCAATAGGCGCTGCAGGACCAGGGCGACGAATGGTGCTCGCAAAGTGAGCAGCGTGAGCAATTGCCGTGGGAAGGCTGCAGAGGTTCACCACGTGCATGCTGGGGCTGGCCGGTGGGCGCACGCGGAAGGCAGTGTTCTCCAGGCAGTTGGGGCCACGAGCAACAGGCGCTCGCACGGCAAGGTGTGGCGCACCACGAAGGCCACGCCACCGGCACGCCCACTGCAGGCCTGGTGGAAGGTCAGTGCAGCCAACGAGCCTCGTCGCTGGGGCACTCTGGTGCCTGCACTCCTGGAGAAGTACGATGCCTGGCCGGTGCTGCGCCAGTCGTGCTGCAGGGGCAATCCTGAAGGGCAAAGGCCCTGAAGTTCTGGGCTGCCAGACAACTACGAGGCCATCCTCATCGGGGCTGAGGCTCTTGCGGACACCACCGCAGCGGGTGATGCTGAGGAAGTGGCCGCAATGAAACGACTGTGCGGTTCTGTCAGTCGGGCTGCAGGCAAACCGCCTCGCCACTCCACAACCGACAGAGCGCGAGACCTTCTCGAGGGGTGACGCCGTCGTGGTCCCCATCACGCTGGCAGCAATGCCCTGCTGCAATCACACCCACAGAGAGACAAGGAAGAGTGTGTGGATGTGTGCCGAGAGCACAGCGACTGTCATCGCCAAAGGAGGCCATCGTGGCACCGTCCGTCACGCGTCAGCACACACCGAGCAGCGCACGCACCCGGCAAAGCAAAAACAGAGGGCAGAGAAGAATGACCCCAAGAGCAGGCAACACTTTCTCGCATGGCGGACATCGTGCAGCCGCGTCAGCCGGCCACAAACTCAATGCAAAAGGCGTCCCACACACATCCATCCGATGGCACCGTGATTCCCACCGCAGGCACACACGCAGCGGCCTCGCCATGTCAGCACGGGATGCAAGCCAACGTCCCGCCGTCGCAAAAAGCATTCCTGCAGAGCACTGTGCAACCACTTATGTGTGTGTGTGTGTGTGTGTGCTGGAGTAGCAGAAGAGAAGAGAAGCACAGTGAGGCACATCAACACAGCAAGAGGCACAGCTGGAAGGCGGCGATACATGTGGTACGGCCCCAACCTCAACAATCACGCACGGTGGCGGCAAACATCCATCGAATAAACAAAAGAAAAACACGGCGGCAGGGTGTGGCTGTGTGTGTGTGGTGCTGCGGGTGTCTGCCCGCCCTGGCCGCAATAAAAACAAAACAAGAGGGAAAGAAATGTGTGCTCCGCCCCACAGGCCCTCGTCGCACGCCCACACGTCACGGCTCCCTCAGCGCGCCGTTCGTCGCGGCCCCTCCTCATGCGTGCAGCAGGCGAGGCGTACAGGGCCGTCGTCATGAGCGTGTCGGTGGGTGTGCGAGTGGAGCGGTTGGGCGGGAAACACACGGCACCCCTCACGGGAAGAGTGCAGAAGAAACAATTAAAAGAGGGAAGAGTAGAAAAAAAAAAAGTCCATAGTGATTGCCCCAAAAGCAAAAAAGAGAAGAGATGGGGGGAGTAAAAGATGAAAGAAACGAACAGAAAAAATTAAGAAATTTAAACCATTAAAAAATGAAAAAAACACACAACTTCCCGCAGCAAGTAAAAACAAAAAAAGAACACTGAGCAAAAAGAAAAAAATTAAAAAATTAAAAACACACAAAAAAAAAGAGCTGCAACAAATGGCTCCACCGTGCATGCACCCACACGCAGAAATATGTCCACGTAAACAGTTGCGTGCGTGTTTTGCATATGAGTGTGTCTGAGATGCGTGCCAAGTGACGGATAAAGGGAGCAGCAACATGGAGCACACAGCAGAACAGCAGAAGCAAATGAAGCAAAAAAAAAAAGACGCGCACAGATTAGTTTTGCTGAGCGCCGGCAATTATAGCCCGCATTCAATTCTTCAGCCCAGTGTCCCGTACGCAAGAACAGCCAGAACAAGCAGTGGCAGGGTATGCAGACGGGTGTCATGGAAGCAGGCGTCATTTCCCGCATTGTTCTCCAGCGCATTCGTTGGGGTCGCAGAGGAAAGGGGAGCCGGCATGCCTGCCGCCGTAGAATTGCCTTCGCTGGTGGCAGCGTCGGTGGTGGCGGTGTCCCCTTCGGCGCCTTCCGCTGCACCCCCGCCCTCGCCGGTCTGGGACAACTGAGTCGGTGGCGCAGCAGCAGTCTCTTCTTGTCGTCCCGCTGGAGGGTCATGGGAGGAGTGTTCCCCGCTCTCTGTGGGCTCCGGATCTGGTGGGGATTCGGGTGCAGCAGAAGTAGAATGTGCAGCGCCTTGAATATCACCAGAGAGAGCGGAATTCTGCGCTTGCAAAGTCTCAGGAGGAGAAGGATCCGTCTTGCCCGCAGCGCCAGCAGGAGAAGATTCAGAACTTATTGTGGTGGTGTCACGAGGAGCCTCTTCCTCTCGAGCCACCGGAGGTCTTTCTTCCGGAAGTGTGGCCGGACCAATTGCAACGGTGGCCGGCTTCGGCTCCACGTTACTCTCCCACCAACTCTTCACCCGGCCTGGAGTGGGCGTATGGAATTTGATCTCGAAGACGCCATCCTTCGCATTCCCTTCAATACGTCTCTTAACATCCTCCGGTGCACAGTTTCCAGCGCCCATGCCGCAAATCATCTTTCCCAAACCGCTAGCTTCAGCCGTGCAGTTATACCACAGTGACTTCCCACGGAGTTGCCAGCGCCCAACTTTTTCACCGTCACCCGCACACACCGCATCCACCGGCAGCACCTCCTCCTCCTCCACCTCCTCCTCCGCGGCAAACACGCACAAGCGGCAGCACAGCAGTGTAAACGCCAACAAGACACAGAACACACGGCACATCATCATCGAAACTATCGTTGTTGAATAGAGTGAATTCTTTCTGCAAGAGCATGAGAAAGCAAAGGGAGAGTCAGTAGCCACACCACGGACAGCCACCGCATGGTACTAAATGGCAGCAGCCAGAGGAAGCGCACACCAAAAAAGACAGACGGAATCATTACAACTGCAGGACTCGCACACCGCCCCTCAAGCCAGAACTTTAAACAAGCAAGAAAAAACACAACAGCAAAAAAAGAAAAACAAAAGAGTTGGGAGTCCAGCAGAGCTCCCGGAAACTTAAAACAAAAAAAACAATCGGACAGGACTTTTATTTCATGTGCCATGCAGCACAATGCAACCGTGTGGTTGTGTATACATATATTGCCCGCACCAAGAAAAGAAATAAAACTTTAAAAAACATACCGTTCCATGAGCCCACACAACATCCTTCACATTTCATTGCGGCATCCGGCCTGTTCTTCCACTCATCGTTTCGCGCAGTCCGCGGGACGCACAACCGCAGCGCCGGCACCGCGTGTGGGCAACAAACAAAAAGAGGGGGAAACATTTCACTCATGACGGTGTGCAGCAACCGACCATGAAATAATAAAGGACACTCATTATTCCAGGAAAACAACGAAAAACAACAGTAAAACGTAAATAATAAAAGAAAACACGCAGGAAACGCGGCACATGTCCTCCGTGCTGAGTCGCAATTCCACACAATCCCAAAAGAAGCAGCCATTCCCAACACACGCACGCAGAATGCCGTCAACAGTTAACTCTCGCAGTGTCAATTTCGCGTCGTAGAGCAGGGCAAAGCAGTCGTCGGGACTCACACCTTTTCCGGAATACTGCGCGGTGAATTCTCGTAATTGGGGTTTTCGTGTCCAGAGGCATTGCGTTGATTCAATCCGTACGCACCACCCTCAGCAACAAATCCACTGCCTGCAACGCCATTTTCTAAAACGAGAGATTTTGTGTCCAGTGGCGTTGTGCTCACTCACCTCGTCCGTGTTATCCTCAGCAACGTGCTCCCTGCCGCCATAAGTGACAGACATGATCCCGGAACCATTCGACGCCACTAATATTTTCAAATCATAGGCAAAGAAAAGCCTCCTCTTGGATGCATTCGGGACCATCATTTCGTTCGGATTGGTGGCAAACTCAGGCCTCGTCTTAGGCGTGTTGGTCGCCGTGTTGGATGCGGGACTCCGATCGACGGTGTTGAGTCCGTCAGCCGCGGCAGACTGTCGCCAATCCTCGTTTTGAAGTGACGGCTCAGCATTAACTTGTGGCGCAGTTGTCCCACCAGATTTTGTGTCATCCTTCCCTTCACGGGGCGGCGGCAACCGACAGATGCCCGTACGGTCAGCATCGCCGCTCCGTGCAGGCGGATGGATGGTTCCATCGGAGAAATTTGACGCCACCACAATTCATAAGGGCCGGCGTATTTATGCGTCGTCACATTCATCGTGGAGGCAACGGTGGCCCCTTCCTCCTTCGTTGCACAGCTGGCAGCACAGTTGCTACATGTGTGCACCGCATTGGCCAAATGGCACACAGCACCCAGCTCACCATTCCTGCCATGCATGCGCACATCAAAGCCACTGAAAGTATAATTCTCATGCTGAGCCTCAGCACTGGCAGCAGAACACTTATTCCACGCACACACACACACACACACGCGATAGCTCAGGCTGCCGTCACTCTGAGCACACGACACATCCACCGGCACAACCACCGCATCCGCATCACCAGATACATGTCCAGCACTCCCAGCAGCCGTCACACACAGAATTGCAGCACCACGCAACTGCCAGCATGCACTGCAAAAAGAGCATTCAAATCCACTGCAATGTGCATCTTGTGTGTGTGTGCCTGCAGAAACACAAAGCAAAGCAGAAAAAAGAGAGCAGAGTATGTGGAAAGACGCACAAACAAAAACGTACAGCGGAGGTGCATGGCAGAAATAAAGAGAAAAAAGCTGCTCAAGCTCACAATATTGCACTGCAGACAAAGCAGCGGCAATTCATTAAAAATTTAATAAAAAAAAATAAATAAAAAATCTTCTTCTTTCCTCCCCTCACACTTTGAAAAGAAGAAAAAAAGAAAAAAAAAATGAAAAAAAAAGAAAATGAAAAAAAATCGTCCTCTATTACGGCTACACCCAAAAGATAAAAAAGAAAAAAGAAAAAGAAAAACACACACACACAAAAAGCACCCAACTACCATGTTGCTCCAGAAATTGTCTGCATATTTTGCCCGCAAAAGAAAATTAAATAGTTGCATGTCTTTCAACCGTCTGACCCTCTGTGTGTCCGCGCATCGTTTATATTTCATGGGGTCATCTGCGTGTTGCTGCTCCCCTCAGCCCTCTCATCGGCGTGCGAGTGCGGCCCGCAGAGCACAGTCACTCGTGTGTGTGTGGGGACTGAGAGAAGCACGCAGACATGACGGGAGTCGCGTCTCTCCATCGGGAGAGTGAGCGCAGCAAAAGAAAAAAAAACATCAGAGGGGAGAGAAATGCTGACGGGACTGCCAGCGCATGAAATAAACACGCAAAGCAAAAAGCAAAATAAAAGAAAAAGAAAAAAAAACACGGCGGCAGGGTGTGGCTGTGTGTGTGTGGCGCTGCGGGTGTCTGCCCGCCCTGGCCGCAAAGAAAACAAAACAAGAGGGAAAGAAATGTGTGCTCCGCCCCACAGGCCCTCGTCGCACGCCCACACGTCATGGCTCCCTCAGCGCGCCGTTCGTCGCGGCCCCTCCTCATGCGTGCAGCAGGCGAGGCGCACAGGGCCGTCGTCATGAGCGTGTCGGTGGGTGTGCGAGTGGAGCAGTTGGGTGGAAACACACGGCACCCCTCACGGGAAGAGTGCAGCAGAAACAATTAAAAGAGGGAAGAGTAGAAAAAAAAAAGTGTCCATAGTGATTGCCCCAAAAGCAAAAAAGAGAAGGGATGGGGGAGTGAGAAGGAAAGAAAAAACAAATTAAAGAAATTAAACCATTAAAAAATGAAAAAAAAAAAAAAATGAAAAAAAAAGTAAAATCAACCAAAAAGAAGCAAAAAGAAAAATAAATTTAAAATACGCAAAAAAAAAAAAGATTTATGAGTGAAATTTGTTCCCATGGGGAAGTAATTTTGTGCAGAGGTGTTCCACGCAGAGGCCACACACTCCTCAAGAAGCGGCAATCCCCCACAATCCAAGCAGAAGGAGCAGCGGCAGCAGTCCGCCTCCGCAAACAGTGCTGCCATCACCATTTGCCCCAAAGTGGCGAGCGGTACCGACACCCGTTGCTCCTGCCGCCAATGTTTTCAGACCTGTCAGCTTTGGAATAGAAATTTTGTTTGCGTTGAGGACGTTGATCTCATTGTCATCCAACGGGCGGTTGTACAGCAGGACATTCGTCACGGTCACAGGCACGCCTTCTTTGCTCCCTGCGCTGCCTCCATCCCCTCCAATGTAGAAGTGGGAGATTCCTTTCGAATCCGTGCTTTTCAATTCACATGACGCATCTCCCACACGCTTACCATCGACGTACGCGGAGCCCTGTTTGCCGTTCCGTAGCACAATGGCCACTTGGTGTGTTGTCTCTGGCTCCCAATTACTGCGGAGTTCCTTGGTCGTTCCGTCACTGCACAGCACCTGCCACTTCCCCTCTTTGTCATACGACAGTCCCAGGAGCACAGGATTCTTATTGTCATTCGTCTTCGCACCCATCAAAGGAATGGGAGTATCTCCCTCCGGCTCACCGTGGACGGACACCGTCGCCACAAGAGTGAAGTTGTAGTTCGCAAAGTGGTACAGCTGATTCTCCCCCTGCGCGCCAACGGGCCACTCCACCCACGCTCCCCGGAACGTCACACCATCCGCATACCCTTTTGCCACTCCATTCGTTCCTTTCTTTACTGTGGCATCCACCCCAAGGTACTCGTCCCTCCATGTGTTATCAGAGAAGTTTTTGGACAAAAAGCCAACCAGCCCAGTCGTGATCTTAACAGCGCTGCAGGCATTGTCAGCTGAGGGATCCTTCGCAGGATTTTTAGAGGGGCACAGCTTGGAGACAATGTCGTCCACTTTTTTCCACGTCGCCAGCACATCCTTCACCCGCTTCAGCTGCGCAGTCAGACGCACAGAGACCATACCGAGTGATGGTTTCTCCCCTTCGCCCTTCTTCTTCTCGTACAGTGCAATCAACTCATTATTACCTCCACTTTTGTACAGCAGGGAGCTGGCTGCAACCTCATCGTCTCCTTCCACGGATACCGGCCCAATATCAACAATGTGCGTATTGTCCGTCAGCCAAAGATGGAGTCTGCCCTTTACATTTACTTCTTTATCAGCCTTATTGGCATACACCGGCAGAGTAACGAGCATCACATCCCTGTCCTCAATCTTCGCTGTAGTGAACCCGCTCCTAACGGCCTTCTCACTTCCGACCTTTTTGCTTCCCCACACGCGCGAGAGTGTCCCGAGTGCCTCCGTCCACGAATCCCCCTTGTCTCCGGACTCGTACACCCTGCGGCGGCCATCATCACACGCAGTCATCATGATGAGTTTTCCCTCCTTCCACTCCACGACGGAGGGATCGCCGCAGCCACCATCAGACATCCACTTCGACAGCTTCCCACTCTCAGTGGCTGAGGAGTATATCAGCGAAACGGCGTTTCCATCCCTCTTCGTGCCTTCCACGGGAAACACAAGCGTACCGTCCTTCATCTGAACACCCGATCCACCGCCGCCAATCAGCCGTGTCAATGATTCGTGTTGTGTTTCAAAATCAGTCCACGGGATAACGGAAGCGTCTTTCCAATAAATTTTTTTACCGCTGCTCCCATCATTACTGACGTTTCCCACAGCCACCAAAAGCTCCCATTTAGCTGCTGCTGCTGTGTTACCAGCAGCTGCCTTAACTTCAAAACTGTAGGTTCCAGCAAACATGTAAATATCACTTCCCTGCACGACTGTTGTTGGTCGGCTCACATGTACTTTTGTCCGGCTTTGGGAAGCATCCGGAGCTCCTTTTGGGGAAGGACACTTCCCTTGTTCAAACTGACATTCCTCCAGTACTTGTGTCTTCAGTTTAGTTGTATCCAATTCGTTTGATTCTTTATCGGTCCACTCCAGGAGCTCCGAGGCAATCCCAGTAAAGCCGTTCTTGCCGGCTTCCGTGCACTGCGCCTCGGCAACGGCAAACACGCCACCATCCATCTCAACAAGAACTGGAACACGTAACGAACTCACTGTTTCTCCTCCGTTCTTATCTCTCCAAACAAGACTTTTATCCGGTGAAGATCCTGAAGCTGACGACGTGCCCTCAGTGGCTGTAGCTCCACCAGTGCCGCAGAACATCATCACGACGAGGAGGAACAGTACCGCATAAGTAAACACACGCCGGGACATGTTGGATCTCTGCCGCTCACTCTCTCTTCCTTCCCTCCTCCTTCCGCTGGATCCGGTCACGCGGCGACGGTTGTGTGTGCGGGGTGCCTTCACTGCAGCAACACGTGAGAGCATATAAATATGTGTGTGTGGGCGGTGTGTGTGCTGTTGTTGGTCCTTTCAGTGCCTTCGAATTTCACAGTAGCGATTAGCGCTTGTGTTCCTTCTTCGTGTGTGATTAAGAAATAAATAGAGGAAAAACATACCAAGAAAAGAGGCAATAGAGTGAGCACCGTCACCCATCCACAGAGAGTGACATTATCATCCCCGCCGCAGTCACTCCCAACAACAACAACTCACGCACACAGACACACGGAACGAGGAGGATGAACAGTGCACCGGAAACACACAGCGACTGCCACCACCAGCAGCAGGAGTCGCGGCGGGTGTGTCGTTATTCGTCACGCGTCAGCACACACCGAGCGACGCCCACACCCAGCAAAGCAACCAGCGGGAGGCAAACAAGCACAACGGCCCTTCGCAGCACCCGCGCGCTGCCGCCAGTCCTTTAATGCTTCTCCCTCCAACGCACCCGCTCGACCGCCACAGGCGCACATCATCCCGCATAACCGACGAATCCCACATCGGCCGATGAGCAGCAAAAGAGACACGGCAGCACGTGCAGCCGCTGTGCAGGAGGCGATACGCACGTACCCCAGGCACCCTCAATGACACACCACCCAATCAATGCACACTTGCCCAAGGCACCCTCAACACCACTCACTGGCTGCATGCCGCCAACAACACACCCGCAACGCGTCGAAAAGACATACCGCGGGCCCACGTCCTCCCTCCTCGCAAGGGCCGCCGCAGCCAAAACATTGTCCGTAAGTGCGTTTTCAGCGTTCACGCCGCTCCAAAGCATGTACGACGTGGCGTGTGTTTGTGTGTGTCTGCGTATTTACATGTGCTTGTGTGTTTGTCAGCGCCTATACCTGTAGAGCAGCTGTGTGGAACAAGAACGTCCAAAGAAAGCAACGGCAGAGAGAGGCAGATAGCACACACGCACTCCCACGGCGTCGGAACAGACGATCTTCTGGAAACCCAAATCGGCGGCTGTGGGTAGCTTGGTGCTGCAGTGGAGAAGTTTGCGGTGACGGACATTTTCTTGCCAACCCAAATTGAAAGTAAATCTGCTTTTTTCCCTTGTGGCTACCGTCGGAATCGTTGTCCGCGGGATCGGCATAGCCGGGCGGAAAAACTGGGCGATGAATGAGGAAGTTCTTCGTGAAGACACTCTCATCAGGGGCGGTTCCTATAACTTCTCCGCGAAGACTTCGGTGGGCGCTGTTTGAAGACACTTTTATAACTTCAGCTGCCCATGAGATCCGCCAGCAAAAATCTTTTTGCGACACCTCGTGGCACGGGTGGAACAAATGGCCGCGCCGCAGGAGGGAACTTGGCCCGTGACGACCTTTGTCCTCCCGCTCGCGGGGCGTTCCTTCGCCGCAAGGGCTTTTTCTTCCGTTCTGCCTGGCCGCCGCGCTTCCCTCTTTTCTGCGTCTCCCCTCCTTGTTTCATTTCGCCGCGGCGCTTCTGCCCATGGGAGGCGCGGTGCCATCATGTCGGCCCCACTCCGTGTCAAACACCGCCCTCTCATAGGAGGACACGTGTGCTGCGCGTATGCCCGGGCAGCGGGGACGTCTCGTCACCAGCCCACCACCTCCCAGAGACGCTGGTTGCAGGTGGCAATGCGATTGGGGCGGTCCAAATGCTTGGCATAAACCAAAATAAAAACGATGCTTTAGCGGTCTACTGTTGTTTTGCCTCAAATGAATGCAGAACAATAAAATCCAAGTTACACCAAAGGAGATTGAGAGAAATTCAGGGAAGACCCTTTGCAATTGTCAAGGCTTCAATGGACAAAAACAACATATTACTGCGCATGTTTTCTCTTTTTTTACTGGTGTGCCATTGCCATTTGGGATCGTTTCACTGCACAAATAAATCCCGATAGTACTTTGTGGCGTCTCGGCTTTTGTCTCTCTCTTCAAATAGACGACCCCTTGATTGTCATGAAAACACACGCTGACGGAACTTGACCGACCCACGACACAGAGGGCAATGAGTCACATTTGTTGCGCATGCATCGCATAAGCAATAATGTCCACATGGAACGAGCACCGTTTCCTTGGGAGAAAAGCACACCACGCACCTCTCATGCTCATCCGTCTGTTTATCATCGTCACCATTTTCTAATCCATGACACAATCGCTGTGAGACTGCTGTCGCATGGCCTTTTGATGGTGAGCTGACGCCTTCTTCACCAAAACAAAGCGGAATTAAGCCTTCAGCTGACAGCAACTGGCCCAGCTTCTTAACGACATCACAAAGTGAGGATGAAACTGGATGCCATGCTGCTAGCTCCGGCGTGTGACAACGTCCGGTGGCATCAACGTATTTGTGGTTGCTCGCTATCCTGCAGCCTCGTTCCGCGCTGAGGAAAAACACCAGAGGAGGCTCAATGGGGTACAGGTGCGTCAGCCATATCTGCAAGGGCAAGACATAACGATGTGGTGGCGCCTGCTCACGGCTGTCTGGGGTTAAAGAAGTGTGGTCACTGTTGCTTTTCTTAATAGCAATAGGAAGCCCACCATAGATGCAAAGTTTTTCCTGTTGTGTCACTCCCCAAGTGGCGTCACGACAGTAGAAATGGAAGGTGTTACACAAATTCTCGACGTCATGAAGGATGCGGCACAGAACTTCAGGCTTACAGTGTGGGGAACAACTAAAAAAGCGAGTAATAATTTCGTTCATGTTATGTTTGATTGTATGCTTTCCCCTAAAGGGCAGAAGGAAGCTTCTCAGAAAAGGGAGAATAAACCATGCAGTAATAATAGGGTTGAGGGGACTTCGTAGAAATGAAGTCACAGTATCTTCTTTTCCAGTTCGCATTCCCATTCGTAAACTAAATACAGAGCCTCCCTCTCTCTCTTTCTCCATATATATAGTACAAAGGAAATAGCGGGGTGCGATGGAAAGGAGATTTCATCACCCATATAGATATTCAATTACAGAAAAAAGTCTCTCGCAGAAACCCGCATCTATGGGCAGGAGAAAAGAGATCGAAATTTACTCGGTGTGTGAAAAAAGGCCTGAAATCACTTCAAAAGTTGTTTCTCCAGCGGACTCCATGTGTGTGTCGCCTCTCATCGGCTGCATCGGCAGACAACGTGGATCCGCGCCTTGAAAAAGCCATGCTTCTGGTAACGATTTATAAGATCGGGAAAGAATAATTTTCCACACGCCCCTTCCTCAATTATGCGGCACGTGCAAGAATCCCAAGCTCATATCGCCAAGACAACTTCCATAAAACAACCGTCCAAATCAATGGAACGCAATGTAAATTTCCAGAATCGAGTGCTAAATAGGGGTCCATTGCATTTCTGTTGCTTGTTCATCGTGTTTTTTTTCCAAATAAATTTTATAACCCACAAGCCGGCCACCGTCTTCGAGCACGTCCGCCCTGCCGAGTGGAAATGTAAAAGGAGGCCCCGGCCCCGGAGTGGGCGTGAAACGCACACGATACGCCATGCCACCGAGCTAGCACGGTGGAACGATGATCCCCCGCTGCCGAGAAACAATGCAATAAGTAGCTACACAATTAAAGGACTCTTGTTGAGTTCAACAATGTCGCTTTTCATTTCCATATTTGTCGAAGAGGAAATTACACCCTCATGGTCATAAATTCTGAAGCAAAAGCGGATTTTACTCGAAATGATGGTGCCACTCTTTTTCAGGTGTTGGGCTAAGCATATCTTTTTCTACCTCCGGCATCCAGACAAAATTATTTTGCCGTCAAGTTGAACATTTGTTCAGCAGAACCGCTGTTCTCCCAATAAGCGCATCGCACGGCGTGACGCCAGATTGCGCAAACAGTTCTCCTTCCCAACACTGCGCCCCATCGAGCAAAACAGCGCCTCACGATAAAATAAATAAATAAATAATAGAAAATAAACGAGCAAACGCCGACGTCTCGCACGCACTAAAAGCTCCGGCAACCAGGGAACAAACACCCCTTCAAAGGTGCTCGTATAGAAGCAAATAGCTATTAATCGCCTACCGCAGTTTGCTACAAGCCGAACGTCCCAGTGGCAGAACTAACAACCCACAACCCCTTATAAAAAGCAATATTGGGCTGGGCTGCTGGCCGGATCCTCAAATGATCTAAAGAACTCAAACATGATGGATGAAAGGAAAAGTTAAATGGAGAGGCCGTGGGCTCACCACCTCCTCATTGTCTGCTCCAAGAATATATATTCGGATTGCCACTTTCATGACACGTTGTACTTTGTTAGTACTAGATATATTATAACTCACGAAGTGGCAAACTTTGGACTCCTCCTGCCACAAGACCCCGCCGCTTCCCTTCGCCAAGTCCTGAAGTGTAAACAGGCGACCACGCGATATACCGTCTGTAGGGTTTTCTGCTGACACCACGTAGGAAAAGGATGCCTGTATCCCGCAAGACTCCAAAAACTCATGTTTCCGTTGCGGCTCCCAAGTCAAGGCGTGTGATTTTGAGCTGTCTTTATTCGCCGTACCTTGTAGCGAAGTATTGTCCGCCCAAATGTCGATAGTGGACCGAGAAACGGGAAAGCAACCAAAAACAAGCAGCGCACAGAAAGTACCTCGGCCTGCATGATAACAAAAAGACTTCCTTTTCCATTTCCCTCCATTAATATTAAAGTTACAGGAATTTGAGAGAACACAAACCTATTCGATTATAAATAGAAGAATCAGTCCTAACGGCACACGACACCTCAGCGTAATTGATGATACACTTAGGATTGTCCTCAATAATGTGTCTTAACCCCTCACCGTCACCTCACCCCACGAAGCACACACATAATGTGCCCATTGTATATATTGCATGCACACCCATGCAGGCCCGTTGGTGCTCTCTTTTGCACCACACGCACCGCTGCCGTCCTGCCTGGCTGCATGGGCGGAGCACCGTAACTGTTTCTGTTTTGTTTTTATTGCATTGAGTGGGCGACCTCTCTCTCTCTCTCTCCCTGTGTGTGTGTTTTGCTTTACGGGAGCAATGAGAGTGTGTGCGCTGGTCGTCCCACGCTTCGGCTTTTTCATTGTTTTACTTGTGTTGTGGTTGAGCACATCCATTCTGCTTTTTTTGATCGGCTGCATGTTTTGACTGCGATCACTTTAATCCTCCCTTGTTATTCCCATATTGTTTTTCTTGTTGCTGAGGAAGGTTTCAGCCTCTCGTAATCTTGCCAAGCCACTCAGTGTTTCTTTCCGCGTGTGCCATGCGCCATTTTATCCACGTTGCCCGCGGCCAGCAGCGCTGCTTCTTCTGCTTGTGATGATGTTTGTGGTGTGATTTGCCAGTTGGTGCTTTTGTTTCACCTTGATGTATCCTTTTTCTTTTGACGCTGCGATACGTCCGACGGCGCGAGGTTTATCTCGTTTACGGTGGGGAGAATGCATCTCAGGGCGCTGGACGCGTTGCAGGTGTGCAGCGGCGTCTGGAAGGACCGACGAGTGGCAGTCCGCATCAAGACGTCAAAAACAGATCCGTGTGACATCAGGAGGCACTGCGGCTTCTCCTGGTCTCACGCAATGAATTCTTTGGACGGTGCGTTTGACTGTAACGATGACGTTATATCCTCTGCACACGGTAATATCCTTGCCGAGGAGACTGTCCCTGCTGCTGTAAACCCGCATGCGGATCGTCTGCTCGTCCGGCCACTGGAGGGTCCGCTGTCTGTGTCCTCATTTGCCACGGGCAGCGTTTGCGGTTGGTTCACGGTGCCTGATGAGCATCGTTCCACTGGTGTTGCCAATTCTGACATGGTGCAGTGCGTGGCTGCGGAGCTTGGTGGTGTGTGGGCACTGCCGTGCGTCACGCTGGAGGATGGCCGTCCAATCGCTGGCGCCATGTACTTTGCCTGGCGTTTTATTTCACGGACGCCTCGCCGCGCACCTGTTGGCCCACGCTCTCGGGTTCGACTACCCGCACATGGCCAGCCGCAGCATGGTGAGGAATGTTGCCGGTGTGCGTGGCAAGGCGCTGTTGGTGGCGTTGCACTCGGCGACTGCCGCGATGCCCGCGAGTGAGCACCACGACTGCGACGACATTGACGGCATGGAGCTGCAGGATGTCGATGGGGACGGGAGGACGCTGGAGTCGCGCTGGCGGCAGCGCCACGCGAGGGATGAGTGGATGACACCGATTGTGGGTGCTGGCTGCTGCAGAGGAAGCGCTCTGCACTGAACATGAGTGAATATCGCCACATGCTCTGCGCATTGGGCGTTTCTGCCAGACGCTGCGCGTCGGATCGTTATTCCAGCGGTTGGTGTGTAGACGGAGTATCCATGAAATGTCAGCAAAACGCCCGATGGACAGTTGCCCCATCACTGACTCCGCACTGGATGTGAGGAATGCTGCCGCTGTTATTTGGAGGGGAGAATATTTGTCTGCGGTGCCTGGGGATGAGCCCTCTTCGTGGTGTCTGGACACGCTTCCCACCAACACGACGGATGCGAGGGACCCGGAGGAGACATATCTCAGTGCCGCCATGCATGCGGCATTGAGGTGCCTCGGCATGCAGGTGCATCTGGAAGTGGCTGAAAGAGGTAACGTCCGTTGGTTCCATGCACGGACTGAGCGACGGTTGCGTGGGCCACTCGACCCAACGATGAGGGGAAACGCTATTTGCCGTGACCACTCGGAGTTGTGCACGATATCCGTCACTAGCGGCAGCCTACTTCCAGTGGTTCCACGGGTGGCGAGGAGAGAGGGCGTGTGGAGCAGGACGGTCTCACCGGCATCTACTGAAGAAGGATTGCCAGGGGCGTCCGTCCCCGTCGCGGAGAGCATTGAGACCGACCGCGGCACACCACCGAAGGATGTGGACTTAGCTGTTCCCCAGAAGCATCCATCGACAGAGGAGAAGTGGATCCGGCCAGGATGCCCCGACAGACCGCAAGAAGCTTCTCTCGGCGGCAGGGACCGAAGCAGCGAGACGGACGGCGAGCAGGCCCCGCCTCCGACTCCCGGTGATGACACTGCTGCTGCTGCTTGTCCCTGTCCGCTGCTTCTGCTTGCGTCTGCTGCCGCGGTGCCAACACACTATCAATTTGCGGTGTGGTCGGCGTTGCGCTGCGAGGCGACTGTGCTTCCTTCTGTGTGGCCTGCACCCAGCATTGGAAGCCCAATAGGAAAACATCCATTTCAATGGGTCTCCTCCATATGCATGTGCTGTGCCCACTCCGTTTTACTTTGTGTTTGAGATTGGTTGTATTTCCGATGCTCACAGCTCTTCTTGTGTTGCTTGCCGATGTGGGGACACCAGATGGTCGTATGGCATTGCTTGTGTGTTTGTTAGATTTTCTGAGACGCACACACACACACACAACGGTGCGAGTGGAATGTGCGCACACAAGACACACACACGCATATCCAAGCACATTGTCTGTGTGACTTCTACTTGACATAGTATGCGGTGCGAGTTGGTGCGAGCAAGGCCGACGGAAGCGGGGCAGCCGCGTGAGTCTAGCAATGGCGTTTGTGGTTGTGTGCGGGATCATATATTCCATCGGATGCTTGACGCCGTTTATGAATAGTTTAAAGTTTTTTTCTGCGATGCACATGCTGCGTCTGTGATAAACTGCTCACTGCGTCTCCATGATCTCATGGAGCACGGCGTGACGCTGCTCGGGGACCCCATGACGCCGCGGCAGCCGATTATGAGTAGCCCTGCGCTCTACTTTTTCGCCGTGGAGGATGCGTCTGTGAGCCGCGTGGTTGAGGATTGGATGACAAAGGTCCCGTACAGGGATGCACACATCTTTGCGTTGGGGTGCACCCCGCATCGCAGTCCTCAGCAACTCGCGCGGTCTCAGATAGCGCCGAGAGCGATGTGTTTGAAGGACATTATGTTAGGCTTTGCCGCCCCTGAGGTGCTGGTGTTCCACCTCAGCATGCAGAATGGGTTCCCTCAGCTGCTGTTGCCTCCGAATTAGGAGTCCGTTTTGAACGTTGCGGAGTCACTTATTGTGGCGGCTTTTTACGCCATGAACAACGGTGTGCCTTTTATTCGCCACCAAAACAGTGGCAGCATCTGCCATGGGTTTGCCGGGACCTTTTTTGAGGTGTCTCCAGGCACTGCCACGACGAGCCGGATTTCGCTTAGGGGCGCCGACAGCCGCGGCAACCCGGTGCGGATCATCGTTGATTGAGGCTTCGAAACGGTGACGCCGCTGATGCACCAACGCACATGTCAGTGTCTGCTTGATGACCTGATGCCGCTGGGGAAGAAAGTGTATGAGCAGACCTGTAGGAATCGTCTGGGGTGGACTCGAAGCGGCAGTAATTGGTGAGGAGGACGTGTGCTGGTGCTCGTACCGTCATTGTTTTCTTGCACAGTGCGTGGAGGAGCTTTTGGTGGCGCTGAAAAAACTCCACGCGTATCACCCGGGATTGGCGCAGGGCGTGGAGCCGAAGGCCAATCCTGCGGAGTTGAGCAGTGCGGTGCGGGCTTTGCCGGAGTTTCGGGAGAGGCAAGCCAGACTGTCGCTGCACATCGATTTTTTGCGCGAGGCTTGTGGCACAGTACTGGGAGAAGCGACTGGCGGAGGTGCGGGAGGTGGAACAAGACATCGCCGTTGGGTTCAAACCCCTCAGGAAAAATCTGGATGGCATATGGCACCTGACGAGGGATACCGCAACGCCCCGGCCTGTGTGACTGTGTCTTCTCCTGTTGCTTGTGGCTGCGAGCAGCACCGACGAGTTGAAGGAGGCCAAGAAGCAGCAGCTGATCCGAGACGGTGGACTGACGTTCGACGCCCATTTGTTTGCGAACCTTGGGCATGTGACGAGGAGGGCCGGGAGCGTGCAACGATGCAGCACGGCGTCGGCGCAGAGCGGACGGAGCAGGAGTGCCTCTGCGAGCAACGCTGCGATCACCTCTTCGGCACTCAGATGGCATTGTATAGCTAGACGCGCTGGTAAGAGTAAAAAAAAAAAAAAAGCAACGCTGCGACGGACGGGGATCCGTTTCTGAAGCATGCCTGCTTACTGGGACGGCGGGCAGGAATAGGACGCTGCGGGTTGGGCTGTCGTTGGCATCGGTGCAGCGCGATCATGTGATGAGGACAAATGGCGCGAGTGGTGCTCAAAGCAGCGGAGCATGAGGGAACAACGCCGAGCCATTTCAAGGGTTCGGTGGCAAATGGGAGAATCATCCTGATCTGGGTGGCGGTGGTGGTGGGACGATTGCCCTCACAACTCCTCAGCGCATTGTGCTGCTTGTTTTGGGTGGTGTGGCCTGCAACGAGAGGCGCTCGGTCCATGAGATATCCAAAAGGTATGGCCGTGAGGTGGTCATTGTGGAAACCTCGCTGTCGCGTCCTGAGGTGTGTTTGTCCAGGGACTTGGCACTCTACGGCGCTGTGACTCACGGGCGAGACACGCACAGGAATGCATCGAGGGCCAAAGAGTGGAACAGATGCAACCAGACACGATTGCGGGTGTCTGTGGGGATTGTGTGCGCTTCTTCCTGCATTCCGTTTCTCTCCATGAAGCGTTTCATACGATACGCGTGTGTGTGTTTTAACGACCGCGCTGCCTGCATTTTACCTTTCTTTCTTGCGTGTGCGGTTGCGGGCCATTTCCATGCAACTAAGAGGGCGGTTGAAAAAGGAAGGACATTTGTGGAGCATGCACCCACGGCTTCAGTGTTCATCCGCTGATGCTGACTTTTTTGCTGGGGCATTTGTGCACGCTTTTCCCTTCATTGTCTATTATCTATTTTTTGCACAGGAATTAACAGGTGGGCATTCGTGAGTGCTGCGGCGAGCTGTTGTTGCCCTCGCCGGGACGCGCGCAACGGCGTCAGCTCCATGACTTTGGGCTAAAAGGAATGGGACTTTCTCCGGATCATCACCGCAGGCGCATGCCGTGGACGGCCGAAAAGGAGTGTGTGCCCGGTGTTGTTCATAGCTCCAAGGAAAATATGGTGTTGGATGGCGCACAACGAGTGGGTGTGGAATGTGTCGACCGTGTGCATCGCAGGTGTATCCGCTGGAGGCATTGCGGGCGGCCGTCGCCAAATGCGAGTACAATACATGCAGAGGAACGAACATTTTTAATTGTTCTCTCAGGTGGAATCCAATGTACTCAGGCAATGCTTTACCGCGAGGAGTGGCCGGAGGGGACGCACGACGAGAACGCCACTCGCACCGTCATTCATTTCCGTCGCCACGGTAGTAACCCAGCCCGCGCCAATACGCCCTGCGGATTTTCCGAGGTGGCACGCGCTGTTCTGTTTGTCGCCACTGTTCCCCCACCCCGAGCGTCGGTGCAGACGTCCCTGTCGATGCAAGTTCCTGTCGCTTGCGGACACACACCCATTGATTGATGCGGCCGGCACCGCAGCCCATTGCTGGTGCTTCTGGCATGACTGCTGCACCGCCCCCAGCAGCTGGTGCAGTGGGACTGGGGACGAGAACACAGCAGAACAATTTCAGTCAGATGGTGCTGGCAGCCCTGTCAGCGTCCCGCCGACTCCAGCGGCGAGCAGAGAAATCGACGGGGCAGGAGAGGAATCAAATGACTGCCGGGGAAACAATTGTTTTTTGACATCACTCCCAGTCAAACAGCCGGAAGAATTCACAACAACATCAGTCACCAACAATGACAAAGGAACAGCGACCACCGCCGATAGCGACAGCAGCACCGCGGCCTCCCACACCACCTCCCATCCTTTGCGTCTTATTGTCACGTATGCGTGCTGCTGCTGCAGTGGTGGCTACGTTTGTATGAAGTGGTGTGCGCTGAATATGAACGAGGGCCAAAGAAAATTGAATTGTTTTGTGATGAATATTGGCTGCACTTCCTGTGGACCAACAATCCGCGTGGTGTGCGGGGATCTTCTTTTTATTGTTACTTTGCTTTTGTGTTGCTGTGTGCGCTGCAACTCCTCTTGTGTGTGTGCGTACCCTCCGTGAGGGGTGCCGACACGACGGACCGCTCTCGCCGTATGTGTCTGTTGCGTGGATTGGAGTGTGTGTCGTGCGTGGTGTGCGGCGTACGGTGCATGCCTGGCTGCTGCCCTCTCCTCATGTGGTGTGCCCTCTGTGTGTGTATGCCGCACCTCTCATCTCCCTGTTGCTCTCCATGTCCCTCACTGTGCAGATCAGCTCCACACCACTGAACGACCACACTCACGATGATGACGTGCCGTCTGCTGTGCGCCCTGTTGGTGCTCGCCCTGTGCTGCTGCCCGTCCGTGTGCGTGGTGGCGACTGTTGACGTGAAAGAAAATGACTCCGGTGAAGTGCCCACACCAGATGAAACACGTCCGGGGACCAATTCTTTAAATCCAAGTGCTCCCACATTCCTGAAACCGGGTACTTCGAACGGTACGGAAACAACACAAGATTTGCCAACCGGTGGGTCGTCCAACGGTCAAGTTGTATCAGATTTGTCTGGTCAGTCAGCGTCACAAGTTTCTGGCGTTCTGCTACAGCCACCTACCGCACCAACCGTTGCGTCAGTTGCACAAATTGTGCCGATTCAGTCCGAAAAAGTACAGGAAAAGGGGACGACTGCATCGACGACCACGACGACCACAACCTCAAAGGCACCAACCACGACTACGACTACGACTACAGAGGCACCAACCACGACGACTACAGAGGCGCCAACCACGACGACCACCCGCGCACCGTCACGTCTTCGCAGGGTCGACGGCAGCCTCAGCGGCTCTGCGTGGGTGTGTGCCCCGCTGCTGCTTGCAGTATCCGCGCTGGCGTACACCGCTGTGAACTAAAGAATTGTGTGTGGGCTGTGCGTGCCATCACTCAAAGCCACGGGGACATGTGTACGTCTAATCTGATCCGATGTATAAATTAAGAGTAATTATAATGATTGTTTTTTGCTTTGCTTGCTTCCGCTGCCGTGCTGTGTGCTCCGCGGTGTGCCCCACATCCGTCACGTTGGACGCATCGCGGACACACTCATATGCATGCGAACTGGAGCTCCCGGGTTTTTCTTTTTATTATTGTTTTTTTATTGCTTTTTAAACTTCTTTTTGCAGTGTTTTGTGCGAGCTCTGCAATCGTACTGATTTCAACTGTTTCGTAGTGTGCGCTCTGCTGCTATGTGTTGCCATTTGTTGCTGTGCGGTGGTTGTGTTTGGTGTAGCGGCCATTTTCCCCCTTTTGCATTCACTCTGCGTTGACGGGGAGTTAGTTTGTGCTGAAGGCTGCACGCAAGTGACAGGAGTGATGGCGATGATGATGACTGGCCGTGTGCTGCCGGTGTGTGCCCTCTGCGTGCTGTGCTGCGGTTTGTTGTCGGCCGATGCCGGGGATGATGATGTTTCTGGTGATCATGGAACTTTAGGCGGAAGTGGAGTTGGGGCTGATGGTAGACCTTCAGTCCCGGTTGGTAGTGATGTATCCACTGGAGGTACAAAAGATGAATGTTCTCTGGGAAGTGGAGGTGGCTCTCCGGTTTCTGCTTCTACTCCTTGCAAATCTTTACTTTCTGATGCGGAAAATCCGGGGGGTGAGGTTTTCAATGACAACAAGAAAGGATTATCCCGCGTTGAAGGGAACTCCAATGTTGAGCAGGATCCGCCACAGCCAGGGTCTCACGTTGTATCGACAGCCGAGGTGCTAGCACCAGGACAATCCAATTCTGAGGCGCAAGAGCAGTCGTCCGGTAAACTAAGAACAGAAGAGGGGCGTAATAACGGTGATGGCGGCACAACTGTGAAAGAAGAAGTGACTGGCGTGAAGAGTAGAGACACTGCTGACCTGTCCCCTAACGACAGCCGCCCGCCAAAAGCAGCACGACCAGTGACGGGGGAAGAGAAAGGCACAGAGAAACAGGCAGCATCAAAGGCGTCATTAACGCCAGAAGAGGAACGAGGGACATCTGCTGCGACGGATCAAAAAGTTGACTTACCGAAGGAGGAAGCCGCGTCCAGCGCAGGTGCCACAAAAAATCGATCACCTGTCGGTCAACAACAAACAGAAGCTTCATCTCCCTCTACGAGTGGAAGTACTTCGACTCTGACTCCGCAAAAGGAACCCGCTGAGGAGCTCCATTCCAACAATAACCAACCACCTGGTGACGCAGCACCGACAGAAGGAACGCAACATGAAACTCTTCCTGGCGACAAAACGCAAACAGAACCAGCAACTACAAACAACAAACCGATTGACGCAACTCCAACTGGCGACAGTGAGAGCAGCCCCACGGCTCCTCCCGCCGGAGAGTCAGACGCCGCCACAACCACAACCACGAACAATCATGATCCGCGTAGCCTCAACAACAATGGCAACAATACATTCACAGAAGAAGTGGATCAGAAGGAAGCAACAAGAAAACCCAAAAACGCACCAGAAAGCACTGACACTGCAGCAGCCAACAGTGAAGCATCCGCAACAGCCATAAACATCTCCACTAACACAACAAACAAAACAACCACCGGCGACAGCAGCACCGCGGTCTCCCACACCACCTCCCCTCTTTCGCTTCTTCTTGTTGTTGCGTGTGCGGCTGCGGTGGTGGCCGCGTGAGAGTGAGTGAGAGAGCGCCGTGCACCGCCCGCACACACACTCGTCTTTCACCCACTCTCTGTGTGTGTCCCCTTGCATGGACTCTCGCCCTCACCTCATCCCACGAAGCACACACATAATGTGCCCATTGTATATATTGCATGCACACCCATGCAGGCCCGTTGGTGCTCTCTTTTGCACGACACGCACCGCTGCCGTCCTGCCTGGCTGCATGGGCGGAGCACCGTAACTGTTTTTGTTTTGTTTTTATTGCATTGAGTGGGCGACCTCTCTCTCTCTCTCCCTGTGTGTGTGCTTTGCTTTACGGGAGCAATGAGAGTGTGTGCGCTGGTCGTCCCACGCTGCGTCTTCTTCTTTTATTGTTTTACTTGTGTTGTGGTTGAGTGCACCCATTGCACTTTCTGATCGGCTGCATGCTTTGGATGCGGACACTGGATTTTTCTTTTTTATATATGTTTTCGTTTTTGTTGAGGAAGTGCTAGCTTCTTGTATTCTTGTAAAGCCATTAAGATTTTCTTTGGCGTATGGCATGCGTCCGTTGATCCACGTTAACCCCACGGTCTGCATCGCTTCTGGTGCTGCTATTGATGATTTCTGCGATGTGATTTGCCAGCAGATGCCTTGCTTTCATCCTGAAGTATTCCTTATTTTGTGACGATGTGGTGCGCTCCGAGGGCGAGGTTTATCTCGTTTACGGTGGGGAGAATGCATCTCAGGGCGCAGGATGCATTGCAGGTGTGCAGCGGCGTCTGGAAGGACCGACGAGTGGCAGTCCGCATCAAGACGTCAAAAACAGATCCGTGTGACATCAGGAGGCACTGCGTCTTCTCCTGGTCTCACGCAATGAATTCATTGAATGACAATCGCCACTGTGAGGATGGCGTTCTATCCTCTGCGCACGAGAACGCTCTTGCCGAGGAGACTGTCCCTGCTGCTGTAAACCCGCATGCGGATCGTCTGCTCGTCCGGCCACTGGAGGGTCCGCTGACTGTGTCCTCATTTGCCACGGGCAGCGTTTGCAGTTGGTTCACGGCGCCCGCTGGGCTTTGTTCCACTGGTGTTGCCAATTCTGAAATGGTGCTGTACGTGGCTGCTGCGCTTGGTGGTGTGTGGGCACTGCCGTGCGCCACGCTGGAGGATGGCCGTCCAGTCGCTGGCACCATGCAATTTGCCTGTCAGTTTTATTTCACGGATGCATCGCCGCGCACCTGATGGCCCACGCTCTCGGGTTCACCTGCCCGCACATGGCCAGCCGCAGCATGGTGGGGAATGTTGCCGGTGTACGTGGCAGGGCGCTGTTGTTGGTGGTAGACTCGACAAATGCCGCGATGCCCGCGAGTGAGCACCACGACTGCGACGACATTGATGGCATGGAGCTGCAGGATGTCGATGGGAACGGGAGGACGCTGGAGTCGCGCTGGCGGCAGCGCCACGCGAGGGATGAGCGGGTGGCACCGATTGTGGGTGCTGGCTGCTGCAGAGGAAGCGCTCTGCACTGAACATGAGTGAATATCGCCACATGCTCTGCGCATTGGGCGTTTCTGCCAGACGCTGCGCGTCGGATCGTTATTCCAGCGGTTGGTGTGTAGACGGAGTATCCATGAAATTTCAGCAAAATGCCCGATGGACATTTTCCCCATCACTGACTCCGCACTGGATGTGAGGAATGCTGCCGCTGTTATTTGGAGGGGAGAATATTTGTCTGCGGTGCCTGGGGATGAGCCCTCTTCGTGGTGTCTGGACACGCTTCCCACCAACACGACGGATGCGAGGGACCCAGAGGAGACATATCTCGGTGCCGCAACCCATGCGGCATTGAGGTGCCTCGGCATGCAGGTGCATCTGGAAGTGGCTGAAAGAGGTAACGTCCGTTGTGTCTCATACACGGACTGAGCGACGGTTGCGTGGGCCACTCGACCCAACGATGAGGGGAAACGCTATTTGCCGTGACCACTCGGAGTTGTGCACGATATCCGTCACTAGCGGCAGCCTACTTCCAGTGGTTCCACGGGTGGCGAGGAGAGAGGGCGTGTGGAGCAGGACGGTCTCACCGGCATCTACTGAAGAAGGATTGCCAGGGGCGTCCGTCCCCGTTGCGGAGAGCATTGAAACCGACCGCGGCACACCACCGAAGGATGTAGACACGGCTGTTCCCCAGAAGAACCAGTTGACAGAGGAGAAGTGGATCCGGCCGGGATGCCCCGACAGACCGCAAGAAGCTTCTCTCGGCGGCAGGGACCGAAGCAGCGAGACGGACGGCGAGCAGGACACGCCTCCGACTCCCGGTGATGGCACTGCTGCTGCTGCTTGTCCCTGTCCGCTGCTTCTGCTTGCCTCTGCTGCTGCCGCGGTGCCAACACACTATCAATTTGCGGTGTGGTCGGCGTTGCGCTGCGAGGCGACTGTGCTTCCTTCTGTGTGGCCTGCACCCAGCATTGGAAGCCCAATAGGAAAACATCCATTTCAATGGGTCTCCTCCATATGCATGTGCTGTGCCCACTCCGTTTTACTTTGTGTTTGAGATTGGTTGTATTTCCGATGCTCACAGCTCTTCTTGTGTTGCTTGCCGATGTGGGGACACCAGATGGTCGTATGGCATTGCTTGTGTGTTTGTTAGATTTTCTGAGACGCACACACACACACACAACGGTGCGAGTGGAATGTGCGCACACAAGACACACACACGCATATCCAAGCACATTGTCTGTGTGACTTCTACTTGACATAGTATGCGGTGCGAGTTGGTGCGAGCAAGGCCGACGGAAGCGGGGCAGCCGCGTGAGTCTAGCAATGGCGTTCGTGGTTGTGTGCGGGATCATATATTCCATCGGATGCTTGACGCCGTTCATGGATAGTTTAAAGTTTTTTTCTGCGATGCACATGCTGCGTCTGTGATAAACTGCTCACTGCGTCTCCATGATCTCATGGAGCACGGCGTGACGCTGCTCGAGGACCCCATGACGCCGCGGCAGCCGATTATGAGTAGCCCTGCACTCTACTTTTTTTCCGTGGAGGATGCGTCTGTGAGCCGCGTGGTTGAGGATTGGATGGCAAAGGTTCCGTACAGGGATGCACACATCTTTGCGTTGGGGTGCACCCCGCATCGCAGTCCTCAGCAACTCGTGTAGGCTCGGATAGCGCCGAGGGTGATGCGTTTGAAGGACATTATGTTAGGCTTTGCCGCCCCTGAGGTGCTGGTGTTCCACCTCAGCATGCAGAATGGGTTCCCTCAGCTGCTGTT